ACGAATACTGCAGTTAAAATATCAGAGACAGAATATCTCAAAAGTGTAGTGATAGGACAAGGGGTAATGGGTATAAGCTGAAAGAGGGTAGATTTAGACTAGACATTAGGAAGAAGTTTTTCACTGTGAGGGTGGTGAGACACTGGCACAGGTTGCCCAGGGAAGCTGTGGATGCCCCATCCCTGGAGGTGTTCAAGGCCAGGCTGGATGAGGCTTTGAGCAACCTGGTCTAGCAGAATGTGTCCCTGCCCATGGCAGGGGGGTTGGAACTTGATGTTCTTTAAGGTCCCTTACAACCCAAACCATTCTATGATTCTATGAAAACAACATTCATATCAAATACTAGAGATAGTATCTTCATGGCCTGCAATGGTTATCTAGTATCCTGGGATCATAATTAAAATACACTATTTGTCCTTTAAGATTAATCTACTGATAAAAACTTAATCATTTGAAGTTGGATATTTTAAAATTCTGTGTCCTAATGGTAACAGAAGACTAAAACAGAGCTTTCTTTCCTATTTCTTCTTCCACCTCCCACAACAAATTATATATTAAATTCAAGCGATATGAGTTCATCAACCCTTTAAAGCAGATTTTGCATAAAATAAGCAGATAATAGAAGCCAAAAGTACAAATTCCTAATACCAAGACTGTAACAGCCACACTTGTGCTGTACCTGCTGGGTACAGGCAGTACCAAGAAAACTGGCTCAGTCCCATCATGTAAAAAGGTTGAAAAGTATTATTTATTACAGATATTGCAGCAACCAGATGATGTAGATATACTCCAAAAAACTGTAAACCTTGAGGACTGAATGGACAAATCCTACACCTATCTGCACTCCACAGAATTTATATTTACACTATACTAAATGATAAAATACAAGTTTCAGGTGCAACAACAAAGCAGCAAAATAGAAGGTATAATTGTAAAAAATGCAAAGACCATGGGAAAAATGGTGCATCTAAAAATGTAAAAACAAAAGAAGGTTTATCTAGTAAGTTAATGACACAAAGTTTGTGATGATAAATCCTATTACAGTACTGAGCTTAAGCCTATCTGAAAAATAAGGGAAGGGGAAAGGACTCCTACCCTTCACTCTCCCGACTCACCTAAGTGGGAATGAATGTTTTGGCCTTTTGTTCTCTTACAGCCAATAGCAAAGGTCAGCAGCAGTTATCAATCTCATGGAAAAAGGGAGGACTGGAGAAGAAAACATGCAAAGGTTTGCAACTCCATTTATAAGTGTACATCAAATAAAGGAGAAATATAAAGCTTAGATTTACATCACTTGTGCTTCTCTCTCTACAGCAACATCAGTACAGCAGGCAGATTAAAAAAAATTGTAAACAAAATATGTAAACAGTTTAATTATAGAAATATTTGTCTATCTAATGTCACGTAACTGTTAAGTATTAAAACTTGTACCTTTACAAGTTACTACAGAGGAAAAGAAAGCACGTTTTATACTTTGTTTATGGTGTTATTCATCACTTTTGAAATGAAATTTCCACTTGAAGTGTACTGTGGAAAAGTAAAATTGATTTCCTCCTTCTGGTAAATAAAAGTAAAGCTATATTCTGCCAGCTCCAGGGGTGTCAGCAGAACAGTCTCACCACTGTAGCTATATGCCTGTCAGTGTTCTGCTATAAACAAAGCTGACAAAGTTCATGAGGGGGTAACACAGAAGCACTCAGTCTAAAAGTACAGAAAGATTGAGTTCTTTTCAGTGATAGGCAGACAAGAGGAAAAAAAAAGTTATTTTAAATGTCCCTAATTCTATTGCTTCTTTGGTTCTTTCTTCCTTGGGAAGTTTGCAGTGCATGAATTTTTAATGTGAACAAAGGCCCAAGGAAGTTCTACTGTAAAAACAAACATGCCATTTTCAACAATATTGACAGATGTATATCTTCCTGGAACAAAGAACTAAAGAAAAAAACGCTTTCAATGCAGAGGTTTCTGTTGTGTCTGTGGCAATTCAATATGACACAACACAGGGCAGTACTGAAGGAACTGCTTTCTTCCACTATATAAGACATTTTAGAGACTGTCCTCTTCTTGAGAATCATAAAACAAGTAGTTTCATGAACACCGGATTTTTCAAAAAACAATTCAACAAAAGCTGAAATTGTCATACAAAGGAGTTATGATCTCATCTGAATGGAGGCAAAGTGAGTCATTAAAAGGAAGACATCACACAAGCCAGATTTCCTGCCCAGCTTCCTCTGACCTCTGTTGGCAGAGCTATTTTCCTCTTGCAGTAAAAAGCGTGCCTAGAAATTGTTCTGCTCACTATGCAAGCTCTGTCAGGAGAATTCAACTGACATGCTCATACAGCAAGAAGGATCACATCAGGTACGCCCATCAACACAAATACTCGACAGTTCTCTAACTGTAATGACTTATGGTGAGTCCTCCAACCCAGTTTAAAAAAAAATCACTCCAACAGCAACCCAGCATTAAGTTTTGCTTAAACCTTGCTTAATCACCTTACTAAACTTTTATATAAAAGTCATGTCACGATTAAAATCTTGTAGAAAATGGAATGATCTTAAGCCTGACATGCTACTATATGCATACAACAGTGTGTGCTGTGAATCGTGCACCTTAACACTAAATTTCCTGACTTCCACCCAGTTAAACAAGCTCTTTACTGTTATCCTAATATAAATCTTGTCAGAAAACCCATACCTGAATGGTTATTTTCTACTGAGAATCATCTTACACGGCCATATATCAAAACAAACATTTGTTGTTATTCTCTAATACTCTCCTATTGGGTACTTACAAGACTACTGACAGGTTTAAGATTACCCTGTTGGAACCTATTTTTGTGTGATAGCCGCAGTGCAGATACTTGTCGATACACCGGTGCTGAATGCTAATCACTACTACAGTCTGGGAACAATTGCCAGCTATGTCACTTATCACTAGAATGAACAGAAAGGCCTTAATTGCTTATCATGTGCTTTCTGCTTCCTGCTGGAATGGCTAGAAACCACTAGGAAATACTAGGAGTAAAATAATTATGAACTCGTAAGAATTTCAAGGGTTAATGATAAATGTGGTTCCAAGCAACACTTAAGGAACTCATTACTCTTCTTCATACATACACTTTTAATGCTGTTCAAAAGAGATTTCGATTATTTAGATTAAAACCGAATTGAACACAGGTTATAAATAAAATGCACTAAAAGATGTAATGTGGGATATAGGCAGGACACAAAGCATACATTTCCCCTAGTTTGTATGTTCAGCTACATCACTTTACAATATTCTCATAAAACAACTTTCTATCAAAATAAGTATTTTTAGCTATTAAAAAGTCATTTAAAGTTTATATGCTACACTATAATTTTGATAATTCAAAATTCACAGAACAGATGCAAAGTAGGTACTTTTCTTATGCCAATTAAACAGCATGCTCAAATAGTATTTCTTGTAAATAAGAGCACCTCTTCCTTTTTCTCCTAATAATGATCATCAGGGCACACTCATAATTAAAAAAAAATGAGAAGGAAGACACAGAAAAATAGTAAGAACAATTTTGGAAAAGATCTGTGTGCTCAATATTTTCGAAATGTTCCAATTAAAATACAAAAAATACTAAAATTGAGAGAATAAAGGCTGAGCAGTGTTCATAAAATATCCCTAGCTGTTGGCAAAGATTTTATCTTTGTCATTTAATGATGAGGAAGCCAAATAACTGTTGCTGGTATGGAAGCAGGCTGATGAAGAAGGCTTTCAAATTGAAGTGAGGGATATCGCAATTTAGATTTTTCTTAGTAGTTCTTCTATCTGTACAATTTCTCTCTAAATTTCATTACTTTCTGTATTAGATGTCCCTTTCAACAGATAGTCATGTGTTGATCAAAGATATATTGCTTTAATATGTCTGTGTTCTGTTGTACGTTAAATTGTTAGTTCACACAGCCAGCAAGTTCTAAGCAGTTCACAAAATATCAGAGGATCAGTAATTAATAACAATGTTAACTTCCAGGGGAAATTAGCTTGTTGTGAAGAAAACATTCCTGGTATTTGATCTAATCTGTGCAAGATCTGATAGAAGCATTCAGCTAAATTAAATAAACAGATTGTGTGTTAAAAACTGTTAGCATATACCGAATACTTACATTATTTGAACACAAAGTACATTAACAGTACATGAAAAAAATAAGGTATTCATTAAGCATGAATCAGTTCTAAAAAGCATGGTATGAAGTAACGTTAAGAATTTTCATAGGGAAGGCAAAAAGATACACAGTATTATGATTTGTGGACATAATAAACTGGACATATTTTTTTCCAGTTAAAAGAGAAACAAATTAGTGTAATTAAAATACTGCTAAAAGCACAGTTTATGTATTTAAAATTAAGCCATGAATTAAACTTACTTAGATGTGCTTAGTATGTTTTTAGAGAGTTAATTTTACTTAATTCTTCATAAATAAATTTTATTTTGAAATCTACTTTTTATTAAATACATTATTTATTTAAATAATGCTCCTATGTTACTGTCCACAAACACATTTTAAATTTCTTGAAGTAAATAAACAAAGAAAGAAGTCAGTTTGCCATTCCTAGGTTGACATCCAGCTAATTAAGCAAGGTTTCAGGGGTAATTCCATTAGAATTTAAAAATGATCCAGGAAGTAAATACGTGTGTGCATATATACATAAAGAAACATATACCAAGAGTTACTCTGTCTACAAACACACCAGCATGTATCCTTCCTATTTATTAATCAAATAAAATTAAAAAAAGACTATCTGACAAGATACTTAGCTTTCATCAGAGATTTTAAAAGGACAACAAAACAAATTAAAAAAATGTTTTCTATTCAATTTACCAATTTCTAACAAGAGTTAGATATCTATGGTTATGGGTGTATATATGTGAATGAACGAATCAATCCTTAACCCACCATATCTTTTTCTCCAGTTTGCAAGCTGTCACCCGTGAAAAGTATGGTGTAGATGGTAGGATGATACTGTACCTGATTGGCTCTGGAGGTGGTCATGGGATCAGATGGAGAGGACTTGGTGGTAGTTGGGGAAGATGGCAATGTCTGGGAACAAAGCAGTTCAGGAGCAAATCAACCTTTACAAGCCTTAGACTGAACAGTTAAAAAAATAAACAAACCAACAAAAGTAACATAACTAGAAAATTAAAATAAATAAAAAATGCCTAAGACAAAATCTTTCTCCTACTCATTGGAACTTAATGGAATTTAAAGTCAATTGGATAAATAATGCATGTAAATATGCATGCTTATGCATGTAAAAACAAATTCATGACTTGAAATCAAGATGGTGAACTCACATAAATACTCAAAAAATACGCTGACCACATGAGGAATATATTCTTTCCTCTCTCCTCCTCTTGGGTAAAACGAAGACTATAGTAAACAAAAATTCCAGCAAGTTCAATGAGCACACTAGAAACAGTTATCAGTCTACAAAACAAACAGGGCCAATGTCTGAAAGAAGTTAGAGACATTTACTTTGGCACCTTATAATACACCATTCTACAGCACGGACTATAGCCAGCAAACTGTGTTGCATATCTTACAATAATTACACAAGCTACCGAGTTTTTAGCAAGACACTAACTGCTAAAATATTAATTGATCTTTTTTAATCAAGAGCAGGTGAAAAAATGTAAACATCAATCTTGTGATGGATGAACATGCAACTAATACCCTCACAACAAATTACTACAATATATTTACGACTAGTGCTAAAAATGTTCATTTAGTTGAGGAAAGGTTAGTAACTTATCATTAGGTCTGTGTTCAAAATAAACACAAAAAAGAATTAAGAGTCATATTTATTGATCATGTTTTCTAAATAATATACATATGCTTAACATTAATTCTTGAACATATCAAAAAAGTACTGGTCTGTTTAAAATTTTTATATACACATTTCTCTTTTAAAAGTATTAGATCCTGATAGAATAACTCTTCTTTTCTTGTTATAAAGGTAGCAAAAATGTAAAATTCCAATTTTCAAAACATAACATACAATACTTATTCAAAGCATGTTTTTGACATCTTTGTAATATATAAATATTATAAAATATCCAAAATTACACTACTTTTTCTTTAAGAAATATGATAAAATGCTATACAATGTGATTTATCATATGGTCATATAATTGCTAACCAAAACTATTTAGAAATAAATGAAGTAAAATTTCACACTTTCAGCAGTTCTGTTACTTACAATCATTGACAGTCCCTCATAAAATAGATATACATACTTTTGCACTAAAACTCTTAATGCATATGAGAAAGCTGGGACGCTGTGAATGCATAAAGTTGTGTATTAGCAAAATATGGGTTTGTACATATGCACACACAAGTATTTTAGATCTATGTTAAGCAATATGAAGATCCATTTTTTCATAGTTTGTACATAAACAAGCAGCCAAAACAGGAAAAAAATATCTTAAGAAACAGACCCTTGTGTTTCCAACTTGTAATTCATGTTATAAAACAATAAAAAGAAAAATAAAACATACAGCTGAAGCATCAACTGGGAATCTTTCAGAAGGCGTAAGCAGAGAATACTAACATGTATAGGGTGTTATAAAAAATACGTAGCTTGGCAAAATGTTATCGGTGACCAGACACTATACATTGTCAAAATCAAGACAATTATGAAGGATTCTCCCATGTCTTTCTGTACAAAACATGAGTTCATTAATGTGGGGCTAGAATTATTTAAAAAAAATAAATGTCAGATTTCACATCAGTACAGGGCTAACCCTGCTCAATTATAGAATTATACCTCTGATTTTAGTCCAATGATGTAGTACCTCTCTTACCAAAGTCTGAAATTAGAAGGAATTGATTTTCATCATTTAAGCTTAAACTAATGGGAAAAAAACCTGCTAAAAAACTCCCAACCAAACAGAATGGAGGACAGTAACCTGTCCCAATAGGTTTTCTTTTTTATAGCTATATATCAAACTCTCATTCTGAACAACAACAACGAAAAAAATTGCTTCTGTTCTCCAGCAAAAATCTGAAAAGATATTTTGACTAAAATATTTCAGACCTCTGACAGTTTGTGTGAACAACACCATTGCTAACTAGGGCATCCAGTACTGTATATTGGTTTTGGTATGCTAGGCTGATTAATAAAAGGAAAAATAACTAGTGGATTTATAAGAAAATATGTAGAATACTTCAACACTGAATAATGACCTCATCACTGATATCACAAGTAAGTTAAGAAACTGGAAGCATCTCAGTTTTCAATTCATATCAATCTTCCTAAAGCACAGAAATGTATGGCTGCAATGAAAAAGGGGTGATGATAATAACTTCAGGTGACTGCTGAACTATAACATCTACTAAGTAGAAGCTTTTCACTATTCCATTTTAGCAAAAGCTTGTTTAAAATACAATGGAGAAAAGAGAAAAGCATTTAAAAGTAAAACAACTGTATTAATGAACAAGAATCAAATATGGGCATACTTTTTTTTCCAAATATACATACCAATGACAACATACTGAAAATAGCAAGAAGGTTTTTTGGCTTGTGTTTTTTCTTTGTGTATCAGGTTGTTTGTGTTTGAGGCTTAACTTTTCTTACTTTGTTTACTGACATAACTGCTTTTATTTTTTTATTTATATCTATACATAAATATAAAAAGAACAGACAACATTTTGTAAAAATTCATCACTTTTCATGCTTCTTTGTAATTCTGAAGACATTAATTTATGGAGACACACCTATTTATTTCTTCAATATTGAAGTAACACAAAGCAATTTCTCAAAATAAAAAAAAGAAACACAGGCATTTGGATTTTGTATTGAGTTTCCACTGGCTGAGAAGTAATTTATTGATACACTCTCAATTGCTTTGCAAGAACTTTTAGGCAAAATTACTTCTTAAAGGAAGTTGGACAGAGCTCAATAATTCTGATTTATTATGCAGCACAGAATATTTTTTTTTTTTTTAATTTGGCAAGTGTTTTGCATTAGGCAAGCACTTGAATTTAGTAGTTATTAGGCTTCTGGGAATGAGCTGTGTAAAGTGATTAGAAACCACAAGATGAATTTACATTACAGAGTTTCAACTTTTGAAACTGAAACGTGTACTATAATTGAAGCTTTCCTGAAATTGCAGGTTGACTGCTGGCAAGGTTATGGAAAAAAGCCACTCAGAATTTCTACCACACCCCACTTCTAAGACTTGTGGGGGTTTTTTAAACTATATCTTGAACAGTATGATCCAAACCATGGTGAAATGGGTGTTCTCTGTTTTCTCAAATATTATTTACTTTCCTATTACTTATGAGACAATGGATGGAAGACTATACTTGCAGGTAAGAGTTGTTTGTTTTCACTTTAAACTTCTAGATCAGATGTTTGAGAAAACAGATTTTAAGTAATAAAAAAAAGGAACTTAATTTTAGAAATAAAATTCTGTTTGAGCCATATTTGAATTGTAGTGTTTTCTGAAACTCAAAAAAAATACTTCCTTGTGTTGCTCACAAGAATTTACTACACTGTGAGAGATTGCTCTCAGGCTGCACAACATCCTAAAGGGTGTAAAAAGATGGTCAATTCAATGCTTCATACTTTTGAGTAACAGAATTAAGATATAGCTGTTTCACAGTAGTATAGAATACATACACATGGCAGTATAGAATACATATACTCCATCTGCAGTGTTCCAAAAGGTCTCTGAGCACTATTTCAATGACTTAATGAACTGCCTAAGGCAGACCTATTTATAAATGACAAAAGTCACACCCTTATATATATATACTAAAAAAATTTAATACTTACACCCTAGATAATAAACAGCGTACTGAGACAGTTAACTTAATTCTCAGTACTTATTAGTATATTTACATAGAGAAGAGTAGAAAGAAAAGGTAGAAAAGGAAATACCACTTGAAAACAGGTTTAGAGATGTGAAAGCATATAAAGAACAACATTTAAATGTGAAGATGAAACTGCATTTACAGCTTACAAATTTCTAGTTTCTTACTACAGGGCTTGCCAAACAAAAAAAATCTTGGTAATAACATTACCCACATTAAATTACTATTAATACTAAGCTAATATTGAGTTTCAGTCTATTTTAATATTGGTGCTTTTAAATGACTGAAATTAATGTTATGACAGACCTAATCTGCTTAAGCCAATATTTCAATGCACTTCAAGAAAAAGTGGGGTTTTTTCTTAATTGTATAAAATAGTTGAATACCTTCTGCAGTGAAAATGAGAAAGAGAGCAATGCAAGGCCCCATTGTGCTGAGCAACACAGAAGACTGACTTACTGGACTTTCAACAACATCAGATATGAGCCTTTCTAAACAGACCACTTGCTTTGCTAAACATATTGAGTCATTTTTTCATCTGCTGTGAACTCCTTTAATCTGCAACTTTGACAAATGATTCTCATCTCAGTGACGACTGCATAAATACATAACACATTTCAAAAATGAAATCTGGAAAAAGAAATAATTAAATGGTTAATTTATTTACAATCCACATGGTAAAAAGGCTACTTTGATTATTTCAGTGACCTAATTTTACTTGCTACCTTTTCACTTCTGTAAAGAACAAATAAAATACATTCTGATATTTCTTTCCCTTTGTATTTGGTTTTGTTTTTGTGTGAAAGAATATACAGGGCTTAGGGCACCACAAAAAGAATAAGAAAGCTAACATATATAGAAGCAATGCTTACTTATAGGTGTTTATAGAGGTAATTTCTCTGCATTTATGAACTCTTGGGGACTTGTCTTTGAAAAAGGAAAAAAGTGTGTAAGCATGATGTAAAGAAAGACTATCTTGTGTTCTGCTTGGGGACAGGAAAGGGTAAGATGCTTAGAGCAAAACAGTAGGTGCCATTTGGTTCATCAGAGCTACTCTGGATGGAGGGAATAATTTAGGTAAAATGGACAAAGAAGAATACCACCAAAACTACAAAGCCATCAGAAGGTGTGAGATAATTTCAGAATTTTCTTAAGAATTTCTGCAATGTTGAATGCTGCTGTTCATTCTCCCAGAAAATCTTCTATTGGCATTCCACTTTTGA